ACGAAGGGACTTGCCTACTACTCAACAGCAGGTCTCTTACAAGTGAGTTTAAGTCCCTCATCTTTATCCTTTACCATATTGGCCACCCACTCATGAAACAGAACTGTTTCCTCCTGTTTCAGGATTTTGAATTTAAAGTCTCCCTGTCTTCTCCAGCAATATTCTGAATATGACATTCCTTCAAAGAAGGCTAACATGAAAATTCATCTAGAATGTTGGGAATTGGGCTGTTAACTTCTTTGATCTAGCTTCTCATTCAATTTGATATGTTTTCTTTGGTATCCAAAAAACTGATAAATGAATATTCCACAAGTAAGATTACTTCGGTCTCCCTGAGTTGTTTACCAGTTAGTTCTTGTTCTCTGAAAGAGTAAACTGGCTTACTTATTGTTTTCTAGATATTTAGTCCTAGCTCTTCATCTTTGACCCTGGGAGTTCACTTTTCCCTCAGATTCAATGAGGCTGATGATATTATTCCCATTTTACTGAGGAGAAAGTTGAGGCTGAAAACAAATTAACTTCTTTGCCCAAAGGTAGTACAGAGAATAACAAAACTAGTATTTGATCCTAGATATCTCTGGCAAGTGTGCTTAATCATTTTACTATCTGGGCTGCTATGAGCATTTAAGAAATGCTATGAGCATTTGAGGTATTCAAGAAAGCACTTAATAAATTTTAATTATCCAAATATCTCAAATGTTTTCCTTTAGTCGTTTTTCTTCCAGGTGAAGCATGCTCTATTTTATTCTTTTCCTTTTTTACTATTCTTTGGTGAAACATCATTTCCCTGTAACATAGGATTTGGCCCACTATTTCATGGAGTAGCATTTTTCAGTGTCTTGAAGTATAGTACTATAGCTGAAAGTCATACCTACAAAACTTGCATTTCTCAGTGCTTTTCCAATTTAGAACGTATACCAGTTTCTGAATCTAGAAGACTAGTTATGGTTGAGATGATTAAGACAGTGTAGAATATGAGTTCAACTTTCTTTAATTAATAAATAATTTATTGTAGTACTGAGGATTGAGCTCAGGGTCTTTGCACTGTGTTACATTTTCAGACCTTTTTAATTCTATTTTGTAAATTTTGAGACAGGGTCTCCTTAGTTGCTGAGTTGCTCAGGCTGAGCTTGAACTTACAATCATCCTCCCTCATCCTCCCAGGGTGTTGGAATTACAGGTATGAATTTGTTGGGGATTGAGCCTAGGCCCTTGTCCATGCTAGGCAAGCACTCTGCTACTGAGCTATATCCAAAATTCCTGAGTTCAATATCTTCAGACACATTCATAAGGAGGATATTGATTGGGTACTGACTACTACAAGAAAGAGCTGCCATAACCTAATTGCATTTTAGTGCCTCTGTGGTAGGTACAGAAAATGTTCAGGGTTTATAAGCAGGGCAGGAATGGTCTCCTTTAGATGCAGAGTTAAACACTAAAGTTTCCAAATGCTGAAGAGCTTGCATGGAAGTAGAAATAGTATGGTCACAATGAACTCCATCAATTTTTGTTTTGTTTTGTTTTGTTTTTTTGAGACAGGCTCTCACTATGTAGTTGAGACTGACCTGGAACTCACTATGTAGCCCAGGCTGGTCTCAAACTCACAGCGATCCTCCTGCCTCAGCCTCCGGAGTGCTGGGATTATAGGCGTGCGCCACCACGCCCCGCTGAACTCCATCAATTTATCTAGGATTTATTCTCATGTTGGGTAATAGACATGAAGCCAAATGTAATGACATGATTGACAAAGCCAGACGTTGTTACTGTTTTCAGATGTTAAAGCTTTTTTGGTTCTAAATGCAAAGTTTGTTGTTGCTAATTTTATTTCCTTCACTATTACCTTGTTTTTCTATTTTTGTCCAAAATCAAATAAAGTGATTTTTAAAAATTTTCACAGAAGAATAATTTTCTCTTCAGGAATTGTATGAAAAAAATTTATGTGCCACCCAGTATATTTTTTCTATTAAAATGTCATTCATAACTTTTTATATGAATAGAGGACAGTTGTTGCGTTTGCTTGATATAACTGATTGAACACAACAGCAAAGATGGCTGTATTACAAAAGTAAAATCTCAGTATAAAAGGTGCCTTTCTAGGGACCTTTTCTGACCTCCACAATTAAAGTAACCTGCCTGTCACTTCCTTCATGCCATTCAGAATAGCTGCAATTCTTTCATTCATGTTTCTATCAGATGTTGTGTTGTTTTTATTTGCTTATTATCTATCTCTCTTCTCCTCCGATGCAAATTCTAGGCTTCATTTTGTTAGCTCCAGTGCACAGAGCACTGCGCATAATAGGTACACAATATTTGCCGAATAAATTAATCCATTTTGGAAAACAGCCTGTGGCACATTTCTATAATCCCAGCACTCTGTGAGGCTAAGGCAGGGGATTGCAAGAATGAGCCTAACCTGGGAAATTCAGTAACTTAGCAAGACGCTGTTTCAAAATAAAATTTTAAAAAGCTGGGGGATGCAGTTCAGTGTGAAAATCTTGGGTTCAATCCATAGTACCATTAAAAAAAAAAAGCCACACAAATCTTGTTAACTACTCTAGGCTAGTTCATTAGTTTACATTCTTTTTATTATTTTGTCCTTTGTTCAGGTTGTTAGTCTGTCAATCTTTATTGCATATTTTCTCCTTCTTAGTGTAAATTTATTAATTTTTGGATGTAATCCCAATTCTTTCTGATTATGTTGTATTGCAGTGAAGAGCACTCACTACTTAATAAAGCAATGTTATCATATGTGTGAGCTACAACTAGCGTTTTGTTGATAAAATAACAAGGTATGCGGATTTATTTTGGAAGAAATAAATTACAGTGATTACAGTCTCCTTTTTTAAAAAAATTACATTACTGACATGTTTTCTTGAGGAGAACTACAGGTAGAATGCCAGAACTTGTTTCCAAATTTGAATACCCAAAAACAAATACGTTGAGAAGAAACACTGAGGCACGTTCTTTGGAGGCACCTTCTGTGTCTGTCCTGGGTTAAAAGAAGTGCAATAATAAACAGGAGTGAGCCACACCATGGACTGCACCAGGGAGACCTTGTTAACTAGGCAGCATGTGGTTAAGGCTGATGAATATGCGGGAAACAGGGCCAAGTTCCCTGGGATGGTGTTCTGCAGGTTCTGGTTATAAAACCTCAACTATCAAGGAGGACAAAAACTTTACCAATGTCATGGGAAAATAATTTATCAATCATAATTAAAATAATCCAAAAGTTGATAAAAATACTTTGATTTATTCTTATGAAACATTTATCTCTTAATGTAAGTCCAAAATATCTAAAGTACCAGAGTGCAAATATTTACATAGCAAATGTACTTAAACACCAACAATTTTCATTAGGAGAATATGTATCTGCCTATGGGCTCAATAAATAGACTTGAAAATATTTTGTTTTAAAGTCACACATTTTATTACAAATTTATTTTGTACCCAATAGAAAAGCAGATTTGCAAGCTATTTACAAGTACTATATATTTACATGTATACAGTTAATGAATTTAAAGAAAATGGGCAGAGAAACACAATATATATGGAAGACTATGCCACTGTACATGGCTTATTATTATCTTTAATGTCACTGAATCTTTACTGTAATAAATACAGTTCTATATTTACACATCTGATAAAACATCTCATAAATGTATTTTTTTTCAATTCCAAGTTAAAGCATTTGATCAGAATAAACATGCTTATATAAAAATAAATCTACCTAATAGCCTTTTTGGGTGTAATGAAGCTAACAGGATAATAGAAGTTAAGAATTAATCTTTTGACTTTTCATATTTAATTTTGTTTTTAAAATATATAACACATGTTATTAACATGGAATAAGCAGAAAAGTACTGTTCCTCATATCAAGTGGTTGATCCAGAAACATAGCCAAAACCAAGCTAAATAAACACGGTAATATGCTACCAAGTCCTGCTGAGTCCAAATTGGTATCAGACATAGTTGCTAGAAATTCTAGAGGTACATGTGTGAGAAGTTAATCATTGGATTTAATTTATGTCATACCTATATTTGATCATAATCTTAAGATGCACATCAATTTGTATCAACAATAAAACCTCTTGCAAAAAAATGTGCATTCGTTCAGGAATAAAATATCCCACATTGATTACTCTTTTCTAGGTTATGTCCATTGCCAGCAATGAACTTTCTTTCTGAGCTTTGAACAGCAAAAGAATTAAAAATGAATGAGAAAGGAAAAATAATATGAGATATTAAAAAAGCAAAGCTTTTTCAAATAGGAAGGGTTGGAGGGGTTGAAGGGAAGGCAGGGGTAGGGGGAAAAATAAAGAACCAAGATACATCATGTAAAGGTATAAGTTCCCAATGATGAATGTAAATGTACTGTATACCTAAAAGGTACCAATAAAAGAATTTAAGAGAAAAAAAAAAAAGGATGAGATGTCAAGAAAAACGAATAAGCCAAGACAAAATTCACCTGTACATGATTGCCTTAGTAACAAAAGAATTTATGTTAGGGCTGGGGATTTAGCTCAGTGGTTCTGCTGCCTGCCTCGCAAGCACAAGAACCACAGTCTGATACCAGGCACCAAAAAAAAAAAAAGAATTATGATAATTTTCCTTTCACAATATTTGCAGTCAGTTTTATTTCACTGGGGGTGGAACCACTGAATGCTGATTCATAAAATCCAGTATCTCTAAAAATTATTTGAGAATGAATGAGTTAATAATGCCTTATATTCATTACACATTAAAAATGTGGCGACTTGGATGGATTTTTTTTTTTTTTCAGCGAAGGGCAATGGAAGACTAAAACATCTCCACATGGTCATTAAAAAGAAATCTCATGGATCACAATTTAGTAATACAGGTCATTGAAAACCTATATTTCCCTAATAACTACATTTGAAGGAATTCAGGGGTTTAAATAAGCCCATTTTGATAGTGAGTTCTCCCATCCCAAATGATTACATTGGTGAGCTTAGGGAGAGTGCAATTAAAGTAATAGAATCTTTTTTTTTTTGAAATACATTTCAGTATGCTTTTTTGCTCTGGGGTTTCATAAATAATGTGAACTGATCTGTATGAATAATACAAGCAGCATTTAGATTTATATTTCACTCTCAAGTATCAATAGGTATCAGCTTTTTCACACTGAGAGGTTTTTTGTTTTTTTGTTTTTTTTTTTGGTTCTTAAACCAAGTTTCAACTCAGTTGTCTTAACTACTGCTCTGTTGTCCTCAATCTCACATTTTCAGGTTTCCAATTTTTGAAAACTTTTTCCCTCATATTTAGAGACATGGGACAAATGCCACAGATGACAGATGACAGCTTTCAGTCATTGGATGAGCTGGTGGTGTCCCGGAATTGGCAGGCAGGTCATAGACTATGCTAGCACTGGTAAAGGTCACCAAGGCTTGGGTTGAGTCACAAGACTGTTTCTCGACATCATCAGAATTAATAGAGATCAGGCTTGGGTGTTTTGATCTCATCCAGAAGGGGCTTTGCTTTCCTATACTCCCAAGATCCTCCTTAAAATGGGGATTGAAAAGGATGTAGAGAAGAGGATTGAGACATGCAGGAAGTGGGACAATCACTAGGAGAATAAACTTAATTACATCAGGACTGATAAATGTGAGATTTAGCAAAGAGGAGAAGGACAAGAAAGCCACAGGGCAGTAAAGAATACAGTTGGTGAAGAGCAGCAGAGCAATGTGTTTCACCATAGAGCAATCCCAAATATTCTCCAGGTCTCCCTTCTCCAAGTTGCAGTAGAGCTTGGTGTAGGCAATGGTCATGATGAGGAAGCAAAGAGAGTTGAGCAAGACGAGAGCCACCGTGTAGCCTGTGGTGCTAGGCTCCCCAAAAGGCAGGGGCAGGCAGAGTGGAGAGGCACCGTACTCACTGCCACCCAGCAGGGGAACCATGGCAATGGTCAGAGCCAGCAGGATACAAAGCAAAATGATCGCTTTCAGGGTAGAGAAAGGAGTTTTCATTTCAAATTTTATAGAACACTTTACAGAGAACCCACGCTCCAGAGCTGCCAGAGTAAGCAAAAAAACAGATGATTCTGAAGCAAAAATGGACAAAAACCCAATAACTTGGCAACCAGTGCCATTCTCCCACCATGCACCATGTTGTGCAAAGCTACCAAAAGTGAAGGCATCCACGCCAGCCAACACAGTGCTGGAGACCCCCATGAGCATGTTCACCACAGCGATGACTCCAATTAGCAGTTTTATGGATGAAATATACAGAGATGATCTGAACACTATTGAGGTCACCAAGGCATTACAAGAAAGTGCCAGAACTGCTACGGTCCATACTCCAATTCTGATCAGCCAGCTACCGAACAAATGCTCACAGGGCTTGAAGGGGCCTGAAAAATCCAAAGAAAAAGACTGTGTCAAAATATGATTCAACAACTTTTGCGAAAGTACCCTTTTGTTTCTTCAGTAGGACCCCAAGAGATAGAGCCCAGTAGGAGCCCTCATAACCTACAGCATCGTGTGGCATGCGCTACTTTCTCATGCCATCACCTGGATTACCTTGGGGATTTTGTACCACTGGCTAGGTATGCACATCATCAGGTGCTTCTGCTGCCAGAGTGTACAAAGAGAAAGATGAAAGAGGGGAGTTTCTGTTGCTGGATTTTAGTCTCCAAAATACAGCAGTGTCAGGCCCACACAAAGTCAGATCTCCTAGAGTTGTCACTGTATTCTATAGAATGTTTCAATAAGGTTTCACAGGCAGAAAAAGAGAACCCTAGGGAAATATTCCACAAATTAGGAAATGAAATATGGGTATTGTATGGGTATATTTCATGACAATCTGATCTCTGCTTTAGACTGACATTTGGAGTTAAAGAATGCTATCATTTGGATCTTAAATGTCCCCCAAAGACCCATGTGTTACAGGCATGGTTCCAAGCCTGTGGTCTTACTGGGAGGCAATGGAACCTTTGGGAGGTGGGATCTAGAGGAATGAAGTTAGGTTCCTGGAGGTGTGACCTGGAAGTGGGTATCGTGACTCTGACCTCTCCTCTTCTGTTTCTTTGCTTTGCTGCCGTAGGTAAACAGGCCTCTTTCACGTGCTCTTGTTATGATAATACTGTGCTGCCACTGGCCCAAAGCAATATGGCCAAGTGACTGCGTACTAAACCTCAAAACCATTATTAAGTTTATTATTTTTATTATTTTGTTACAGTAACAGAAATCTAACAGAGGGAACAGGGAACAAATGTAATTGTCAAACATAAAATATTAACTATTCCCAACCGTTTTCTTCATTCTGTTTCTGGGAATGGGACATTTAAGTGAATTCCATATTTTTTCTTTCTTTTTTTTAACTTCTCTGTACAAACTATTATTTGCTTCTGCTAAATAGTTATTTACAGAGAAGACAAGTCACTTTCGTAAATCAATGATTACATAAAGCAAGACTGTATTTAGGCTAAACTGCTAATATTGCTTTAAAAATTGCATATACTTTTAACTGCTTGGTTCTTTAGTTTTTATTAATCCGAATGAAAAGTCCCCCACAAAAATTATGCCTGTGAATGGAGAGCAACTCCAGGGAATGCCCACTTAATTATATTGTGCAGGTCCCTGTGGGGCAGGGTGCTGGTCAGAAGCACGTTGGCTCCTGAAAGGCAGCCACACCATTAGTGAGGGCCTCAGTGGCAGACGCAGTTCTGAAATCTCTCACCTGGGGAAGGCGAACACTGCACCGAATGTAGGGCTTTCAGGTCTTCCTCAAAGTCAAGCAGGAAATCTTCAAGATCACGCTCATCTGCAGGAAGAAGTCCTGGAATGATTAGTTCTGTCTCTCTTTTCAAGAGCCAAATCCCAGTGAGGAAGTTTTGGGTTGCCCTTCACACAGGAACTGTTACAAAGCAAAATGAAAGCAAGATGTCCTGCTTTCCCTGGGCTTTGGTTTTCTTCCAAGTCTATTACAAAGTTGGCTTTGGGGAGTCTACTCAAGCGACTATGCCACAGTATTCCAGCAAAACTGGGGGTGAGGGAAAGTGACCCCAGATTCTAGGTTAGAATATCTAAGCTCTCGCATTCTGTGGATGTTCTCTGGAGCTTGTGATGGGTCCAAATCTCACTGACCTAATTAGAGTTTAGGGGCTCACTCCACTCACTTCAGGGACCATTTAATCTGACTTTATAACACTACAATAGCCATAGTGCAAATGTTCTCAGCTGGGTTATCTGAGCATAAGAGGAGAATCAGGTACATAATAAGTTTCTTATTATTTCTTCTCTAGGAAATTCTGTATAACAGAAGACAGATAACTACTTGGTGCTTTGTTTAGATATCCTAAAAGTGGACATTATTATCTTGTCAGACTTGAGCATCAGTGTTTCAGAAAAGCTTCTGTGCAACTCTAACATGGGGGCCTTGAAAATAAACTCACTCAGGAGTTACATCTTCTGTTTATTGAGTACCACCAAGGCCTAGTGCAGCACCTGGCACATACTAGTAGTTGCTCCCATTTATTTTAGATGAATGAACTGTAGTAGACATTAGAGTAGCAGATACAGGAAGAGGAAAAAAAAATCTAAAGCAAGAACAAGAGCAAGACACATGTGGCCTTAAAAGAAAACCAAGACAAGGCTCCTTAAACAGATATACATCTGAAGATAGACTGAACCACACTTGCTTTGGAAGCAACAAATCATTAAGGTTCAAAGAATAAGAAGCCATTCTGTTTAGACTCTGTACAAACTCGCAAGGTTGGCAGGTAAAGGAGAGGGTACTGCCCAAGGAGGCTCCTCATTACCACAGGTGTGGTTGCGATGCATTGCTGTCTGTTTAAATAATGTCTTACTTCGAGTGCTTCACAGACATTATCTCATTTCACCTTCCTGACAGATACCCCTCGGGGGGAATAGGAGGGGAGAATGATTTAGAATTAGTAGGAAAAAAGAAATGGATCCTTAATCCTTTCTGCTGAAATATGGAATAATCTAAAATGTATATATTCTCTACTCTCCCCAGGCCATGGGAATAAAAAATGGATTTTTAGCTGGGCATGGTGGCACACTCCTGTAATCCCAGCACTCAGGAGGCTGAGGCAGGAGGATCACTGTGAGTTTGAGACCAGTCTGGGCTACATAGTGAGTCCCAGGTCAGTGTCAACTACATAGTGAGACCCTGTCTCAAAAAAGAACAAAAACAAAAACAAAAACAAAACAAAACAAAACAAACAAACAAAAAGGATTTTTATCTTCTGGAGAAAAGTGTTCAGAAGCATGTTTGGAAAAGTTACTCATAAGGATGAGACCCTTTTTAAAGTTTATAGAGATATTTATATGAGTAATTACCCCTGATGACAACGTATGCTAAGGAGGATCTAATTATAAATCTAAATGTTAGGGATTCACTAACAGAACAGATAAAATTGTAGAATAAATCCTGAGAGAGCTTTCTCTTTTTCTGTAAATCTTCACGAAGTGGGATTGGTTCTCAACTTGCTGGGCTGTTTCTAAAGGGATAGGTCTGGAGCTCAGAAAGTCTATTCCATGAGTTTTCATGACCCTTCCAGAAATAATTTCATCACTATGACAGAGCAGGGTTTACCTTGAATTTGAAACATTCCAGCGTCTTTCCTATGAAAATAGTCCACACTGCTGTTGTTGCCTTTATTCCACTGACTGGGAATTTTGTAGATGTTCTCACATATTCCAAAGGCACAGCACTGGTAAGCATAAGGCATTTCTATAACCCTTTAAAAGGACAAAAAGCAAAACAAAAAACCCACACATTTAAAAAGATTGGTCATTAAATACAATGTTTATTTTTTCAGCCAAAGATTTTACCTTTAGGTGCTAACCTAAACAATTCAAAACAACTTACGTGCAGAAAGGTGTTCATTACAGTGATACTTAAAACAACAATGGAGTTATTAAGAATTATTACCGTGAAATGTTGATAATTACTGAAGCTGCATGTTGCAACTTCCATCATTCAAATGATAGAAAATATTCATTGTAATATGATTAAAAATGACTGCTAGGAAAATCATGACATGCTAAATGCCTAAAATGTGATGATATAAATGTCTATGAACATTTTGATTCTAATATTAAAAAATACATATAATAAGAAAATACATAAAAATGTATTTTTCTTTCTCTTCTACTTTGCAAACTGTTTTGGAGTTTTGTACTTTTATACTTTTAAAAGTACTATAATATATAAAAAGTATTATGGTTTAAAACATGTTTATAAAAACATGTTTATAAACATTTATGCATAAAAATCATTCATGTTAATTATTATAATAAGCATAACAGATTTTAAAGAGCATTCCTCAAATATTGATTTACTATATTTTATTAGAATATATACATGATACATGAATTAAAAACTAGAAACAGGAGTATAATATTGTTATGATGTTATTTAATTACATATCCTAGTTTATATCTCATGGGTCGATGGTTTTCAAACTCTGTCCATGAACTCTGTTATTCTGGAAGACATCTTTGAGAAGAAAAGGAAATGTGGTCAGGAAGACACATTCTCCTACTTCAGAGGGTGGGGGACTTGAAGGCATGAAATGCAATTCAAAAGGGTCTCATGACCTCACAAATTTAGAAAACCACTGTAACATGTCTATCATTTCACATGACCACAAATGTATCCTATTAGTTTTAATGACAAACTCACTTGAGTTCTGGAAAGTTTTCAGATGATATCAAGCTCTGTAAGGCATGATTTCCTGTTAATTTTAAGTGAGTTAAACCATGTAACCCAGTTATAGGAAAAGACGACAGAAGGTTGGATGATAGGTCCCTGCAAAACATCAAACAACAATTGGCTTTTAGTCTGTTAGCATAAAACATTTCTGTAAAACAAAACAAAAAAGTAACCTACAGATGATTAAACTACTCAGTAAAAACTTGTAAGCAGGATCTTAATGGTAAAAGTAACTATTTTGGTTTCGGTTCTTGATAACCTTTCTATTTACCATCACAATTGCAGAGGGAAAAGTTTGAATTTCACCAAAATTGCTCTATATTTGGCTTTATTTTGCCAAATGGGGACACTTAAAGTCAAGGGGGAGGTGCTACGTTTATTTGAAAAGTAAAAGGAACGAGCAGTAAAAGTTTTGGGGGATTATTTCTGTTTCCCCTAAGTTCTATCTGGCCAGTTCCTTATTTCTTTAGTAGGAAAGAGGAAGAAGAAGAGATGGAAAGAGGAGGAGAAAAAAAAGAGACAGAAAGGTTTTCTATCAAGACAAGATGGTGAGCAATAAAAAGAAAGCCCTTCAGAGCTGAACTGACATCTGATTCCATCCCACCTGATTATTCAGCAAAAGGGACTTCACCTGATTAACCAGAACCAGCTATCGCTCAGCTCTTCAGTTAACCACTTAAAGGCCCGCATGACACAAGGACACTCCTTCCTGTCTCTGACAGAGTTCAGTGTGTAGAGAACATAGAGGACGGGCAAACTGTACTGTGAATATCTTCGATGAAAATATTCGCATTAACCAGGAAGTCCCCAGTTGTTAAAAACATGCCAAAAACAAGTTATGAAATACTCACAGCTTTATCAGAGATGGCAGAGTAGAAAATGCATTGGGATGAATACTGGCGATTTTATTCCAAGCTAAATTCCTATTTAAAAAGAGAATTACATAAGCAAAGAAGTACAAATGAAGTTTAATCAGATGCATTCAGTGTTCTATCATAATTTAATTTCAGACCAGGAACAACTACTTATTGAACTACCCTTCACCTAAGAGTGAAAAATGATGAGAGGATACTTCAAATCAACCTTGTTTAAAGTAATCAAGGCGAAGTCATTTACAAAGGTATTTTCAGTTCTTATTCTCTTCTTATTAAAAGATTGACTTTAATATGGCTGTAAAATTTTATTAGGACTTTTAAAAAATTTGTGGGGATAGAAAAGTGGTAAAAGACAATGCTCTGAGCCTCTTCTGACAAGCAAGTAAATGTTAACTCCTAAAATGTCCCTGATAAACAATGAAACTCAGCTAAGAATTTGTGCACAGCATCATACGTGTCAGCTCTTGAAAGATGCTTTCAAGATAATTCCCAGTAAGCCACATTAACAAGTAAGCAGAATATGAAAAAAACGGGGGACAAACATATGTTACAAAATAAAATCTTTGATAACAAATAAAATACTATGCTTTATGGAGAAATAAAATTTACTTGTCACACGCAAAGAAAGGTAGATAACTTAGCAGGAATAAAATCTTTTTGCAAGGACTTCTGTGGATAATTGATCAGAGATAAGAACTTCTATACTTCAACAAGAACTGCGAATTTTAAGATTTTCCTTTTAAAAATGCCTAACAAGGGTAACTAAGATGTACGCATTAGAAAAAATCGAAAATGATTAAAGTCAACCTTTCTCAGGGATTGATAAATTTATGACACTGGGCCCTCAACTTACCTTGAGTAAATAAAATTCACAGAATAGTCACATTCTCATTTAAATGGTTTCCTAGGGATCTGTTTTCTTTTCTCAGAAGAAACTAGAGTTTTTTTCACTTTGGTCTCAGAGCAAAACATGGCAGCTAAGAAGGGGAGGAAAACCTGGGAGGTGGAAAGCTACAGTGTTGTCTGGGTTTTGATAACAGAGCAAGGAGACTGTCTTCTACTGAGCTACTCAGGGAACAGCACCTACCAAGGCGAGCGAGGAATATGCTCTATCAAAAATCTCCTTGTCAGCTTTAAGAAGAACATAGTTACCAGGGGTGAGCTTCACAGAGCAGAGCATCTGGAATGTAGGCCACATCCTTCCATGTGGCTTTCTGGTGACCTAGCTGGGTCTTAAGTATTTATGAACTTTTATATGTGTGAAGGATGCTAATGGCTTCCCAGTGTGTGAGCCTGTGCTGGCATCCTCCCAGCAGCCCTGGAGGAGTCCTTTTCCACTTTCCTGTGCCATTGTGTTTGGTTTTTCAATGGAGGCCCCACAAGAGAGAGGTGAGGTGTAGGCACTCACAGTCCACTCCTTTGCTGTTCTGGAAGTTCATCTTTGACATCAGCTATAATCACCGCACCCCTCTCCGTGGTTAAGCTCTTTCTGTGTTCTGGAAGTGCCATTCTTTTTCTGTTCTCTTTAGCACAGTCATTGTGATGCTGCTGATTTCTGCATGCCTATTCCTTGCTTGCTCCCCACCCCACCTCTGTGGGTGTCCCCTATTTGAACTCGCTGGGGTCAACTCTGTTTCTTGCCAGTGGCATCACTGACATACTCTAAAAGGCTATACACTTCATCTAATAACCACATTTTAACCTACTTTGTGCCAGCAATAATTGTGAGTTTTTTAATGTATACTGCCTTAAAACCCTCGACACAACCCTGAGAGGTAGGCATTATTATCATCCCCATTTTATTGATGGGGAAGTGGGAACACACGCTTGAGAAATTAATTGCCCAAAGTCACAACACAGGAGCTCTCAGGAGCTGGATTCAAACTCAAGCTTATTGACTTCGGAGCCCTTGAATTTTTGGTCTGAACGTGTTTGGATTCTTAAGTAAATAATGAGAGGGCACTGTATTTGACCCTGGAGAAAAAAAAGATAACAAAGTTCTTGTTTTTAGATGGGAAATGGTCTGCCTGATGACAGTGCTGAGTGTTAAGTGCTGTAATCGAGAATGTGCACAGTGCATCAGAATGGAGTAAGCTAAAACACAGGCGATGTTGTTCTTATGGGACGAATAGGGGCATAGTCAAGAGTTGGGAGGAATTCAATAGGCAATGGAAACAGGAGAAATAATGGCCTATGTATCGGTGGCTGGGAATGTATGGGTGAGAGATGTGATTGAACCAGGAGTATGGAATAGGATTTTGAAAAGTGGTGCTGGGAAATTTAGCCTTGATCCTAAGGGTAGTTGAAGAATGATAGAAAAATTCAGAAGTGGGTAAGGAGTTAACATCTATGTAAGAAAGATTGTTTTATAACTCTTTGGAGAATGAGATGAATGGATACATGTCAATGGTAGGAGGATGGTGATTTCAAGGACCTGTAATAGAAGACTGGAGAGAATGCACTTGGTAAAATCACTTGAGCAACTAACTGCATGTGAGGTCAGAGGAAAAGGTGGGATTCAGAAAGAAAGACTCCTATGCAACCTCATAGTCAGCGTTAATTCTTCTGCTAGACTTGGAGAACAGCCTGTCAAAATAGAACCCACTTTTGGAAATAGCCAGAACTCAAACCTGCTGAATAAGATAGGTAACAAAAGTAAGTAATATACTTTTCATATTTATTTTTTAAAAAGTAAAATAACAATGCAAATAAATTCAAGCCAAAATTACAGAAGGAGTAACACAACTAAATTCAGAAGAAGCTGGTTCTCAAGGTAAGTTTTTGGAAAAAAAAAGTAATTCTTAAAAGTAAATTTAAAATGCTTTAAGAAGTAATATTATTTTGTCAACTATTAAGAAATACTTGAAGGGCCGGGGATTTAGCTCAGTGGTTCAGTGGCCTGCCTCGCAAGTGCAAGTACCCAAGTTCAAGAGGTCAGTGAAAGCAAAATGTTTCTAACGAATACGCGTCATCAACACTACATGTTTCATCATGATTCATCAAAATCACGTTGAAATCCAATTCAGCATATAAAGGTTTTTAACTATTATCTCACAAAATGATGCTACTAAGCTTTCTTTTTAAAAATTTAATTAATTAATTGTGGCGCTAGAGATCAAATTCAGGGTTTTTGTTCATACTAGGCATAAATTTAAATTTTATTTTATTTTATTTATTTATTCGTTTATTTTTTGTATTGCAGATAGAACTCAGGTCCTTGGACTTGCAAGGCAGGCGGCAAAACCACTGATCTAAATCCCCAGCCCATAAATTTCAATTAAAAAATTAATATAATTTCTTAATTGAAAAAATATGCAATGTTTTCAATCATGAAATAGAATAATAATGAATCTTAACTGCCAGAACAACAGAAACATTTCCTTTTCTTTTCTTTTTTTAGTACCAGCATGAACTCAGCATCTTGCACTTGCAAGGAGGTGTGTTGCCACTGAGCTAAATCCCCGGCAACAGAAACATTTTCTAGGACAACTACATTCAAACCTACAAACTTGTTAAAATGCAGATGTCTAAGCCTCATTCCAGAAATTCTAACTCATGAAGCAGGTAATGACCTGGAGGCTGCCTTATTTTAAGGTTGCCACCAGGTGATTCTTAAGTACTTTTTCTTCTTTTTTTTTATTTGGGGGGCACTGGGGATCAAACTCAGGACCTTGTGTTTTCTTGCGAGGCAGGCAGCTGGTGGTGGCACCACTGAGCTAAACTCTGGCCCTTCTTAAGCATTTTTGAGACACACCAAACTCTATTTAACCAGGAAAGAAAAGCAGGCAGGTTAGAATTATATGATCATCCCATTTTTGTTTGCAAGCTGATGCCTGCCCATTCCAGGTTGTGAATAGAATCACACCCTGCGGGCTCTTCAGTAACTTGGGTCTCCTTTCCTCTTCAAAAAGTTGTATGTCCACTGACTGGTAGAAAGCATAACTGCACATTTACTACTTTTAACTTTATTCCTGGAAATCCAGAGCAAAATACTTGCCTTTTCATAGCAAATACACGCACAAAGGCCCAACAGTAGACAATGAAAGGAAAATATTAGGGGCACTCCAAAAGAGAAAGGAGTGCTCTGTGTTGTGGCAGGTGCTGGGTGGTACTCACAGAGATCGGAGGCTGAGTAACTGCTGGAAAGTGTCCACTTTAACTTCGTAGATGTCATTATGTCTGAGGTCACTGAAATAACAAAATTTCAAAGAATGATTTCAAAGTTACTGGTTTCAAAGATTATAGACTTCAGAGAAGTTTTACAGGAGGATCCCCTGCCCTCAATCAAAGGAGAACACAAAGTAGGATTAATAAGTTACTGGTTTTTGTTTAAAAAACATTTCAATTTATAAATTTAAGAAAGTAGCCCTGCTTTTCAAATCAGCTAGTTCTCCTGGAAGGATATAAAAGCGTATTCTAAATATGCCACCATCATTCAAAACATTTAGGACTCATATTGGTGTTGCCTTCTGAACCTTTCTTGTATTCCTTAAAGATCTTCAGGAGTATCAAATCCTCACCGTTTAAAACATAGATTTGCTTAATTTTTTTAATCACCCACAGGCTTTCAGAAAAAAATGAAGTACAGAAAGATCATTAATGTTGTTTGATGCAAGTATGATTATAAAACAATAAGGCTGATGTTTTGTGGGAGAGGCAATTTAAGGTGAGAATTCCAAAATGTTGCATGCCTGAGTAACATCTGTGGCACCTCAAATGTGACAAATATGTTACTAAAGATAACTATTGTGAAATAAATACACCAAGAAACCCATGTCCTCCTATACTAAAAAATAGCACCACTTACTGATACAAAAGTTTGGTTGTAGTTGCAAAAGAAGAAAAATTCCAGAGCTTAGACAAATCCAGTTCATTACACTGAGTCAGGGAGAAAAGAGAGATACATTGTAAATGTTTTACTTACAGTATGGTAGGAGGCAGGATGAAACAATACTGTCTGCTCTCCAACTTTCTAGCCACCCTATACAGTCACATCTTATGTGTATAAAAAGGGAAAGCATCAAGTGTATGGCCAGTGAGCCATAGGCTAAGAAACCAATGACCTGAAAAAATGCATGTGGGCTCTCGTTTTTTACTGGATGACTTAGAGACACACAGACACGTACATTTTCTGAAGTTGTTGGCAAGCTGAAAAACTAGGCAGATCTTCTACTAGGTTGTAAGACAGATCCCTGAAAAACAAGATGCAAAAGGGGGAAGTATGTTACATACTAAGGAACAATGCCTTTCTCTCGTTTTTCTTCCAAGATGTTATATTCCCCAAACACTGACTCTGGATTTTTTCACAGCCCTGATATGGATCAGGTAGTCACTGGCATTATTGGATTATGCAAAAGATTCAAATGTTTACTGACATGCAACCATTATGATTCTTTAATGGATTTAAATAATTTAATGAATTTCTTCATGTTTTGTCAGTGATGGTTTACAATGTTCCAGCTATTATCTTACTGAGATGATTACGCTGCCGTCTTTAAAAGCTGCTATATCTCTACAATTAAGAGAAGTCACTCTTGATTCTTTTCTAATCAAAAACAAAATCCAGCAAGGACTAACTTTGAAATCAATCACTGTAAAGGGGTTAAAAAAAAAACCTAAGAAAGTCTTCAGCTAAAACTCAAAAAATTATAGAATAACAAAAACATCTGGACATATTTATAGTATAATATAACTAATCTAAAGCAAGCCGTGGTAATTTCCAGAATGTTAAAATAACGGGTAGATAAAGTAACACAGATATATTAAAATAATTATCTCATGTTTTAAAATTTATCAGCTAATCAACTAACACATTTTCATGCCTGATTCTAATTCTTAAAACCATCTAGATCACCACTAACCAATCAAAAAATCCATAGTTTTCTAAAAAGCTTACTTAATTCTGTCCTATTCCTATAATTGATTGCTTTATTCTACATTTATTAAATAAATGATATTTATTTTGGAGTAGAGTTCAGTTTGTATACATAAATAGATTGAATGAAGCTGTTAACAAAGGTACAAAGTCCCAGTAATGAATGTAACTGTACTGTCTACCTAGAATGTACCAATAAATTAAATAAAAAAACCAAAAAAAACCAAATACAAATTTGTAGTTTATGCTACAGATTTTAAATATCACTCCCCAAACTTCCAAAGGAAACAAAACAAAACACACAAAAACTCCACAACTATAAAACAATTCACTTAATTAACAACGTGGCATGTACTTTTGAAAAATAGTGAAAGTATTAAGATGGACACCAGTGTCATAAATGATGATACTGATTTAGTTTATTCATTTCTGCAGGCAGAAGGGGGGGCAATCCTTAATAGAATCGGGGGCCAAACACCTTAATAGAAGTCACATAAAACTTAGCAAAGAATAACAGTGTTGCTTTCTACCTAATGATTTTCATGGCTAACATTGATCAAGCACTTTTTATATAAAGGCATGATGTTTATAGCCATCTTGAGTTCCCTCATGTAATCCTGCGGTTACGAGGGAGACACTATGATTATCCCTATATAGTAAGAAACGACTGACCTAAGTTTACCAGCTAGTAAATGGAGAAAGCCACACACACCCTGAATGTGTGCCAAGAAATTTCCATGAAGGGGAAGCAACGATCAAAGCACTGATGTCTCAGGTAGTTCTTTCCTCAAACGAGAAGACACCAGTTTTCCCCACCTCTCAGGGATATTGTGAAGAACAAATTAATATTATAGGTTAAAGTGCTTTGGAAAATGCTATTGTCATTAATGCATCTTTGTCTTTTGGTCACTTCGAGTTTCCATGTGAAGAAATTGCATCTGAAGAATAATGGTATAAAGAGAGAAAGATGAAAGAATTAACATTAAGAGTTTACAATGGCCCAGATGTGCCGCTATAAGGGTTTGACATATAGTCATTTAATCTTGATGCTGAACCTCTGAAGAAAGGGCTACTTCTTCATTTTATAGACTGGGGAACAGCCTCAAAGGGATAGTAACTTGTTCAATACTCTACGATGATATATAGGAAGCCTGGAGTTGAACAGAAAATCAGGCTTTGAGGCCTTTGCTTTTGATTATTTTACCTCAGTTCATGTAGTTTTGGACCTGTGGTTGACTATTCACTATGCAAAACTATGGAGGCTTATGCAATTTAAGGCAGAATTCTAAGGTGGCCCTCAAATTTCCACTTCTTGTTGTACACATACTTTCTCCCAGTTATTCAATCAAACTGACTATATTCGAATTTAAACTCTGCTACCTTCTTCCCATCTACAGCTTCTAAGGCAGTGTGAAGTGAAGAGGAAACTTGTTCTTTTACCCCTACCTGATGATGCTGGTGAGTGATTCCGAGCCTACACAGTCACTGCACCACCATGTCACAGCCTGGAGATGAGGGACAGGCAGAGCCAAAAGGTTCTACCACTTAGTGTATATAGTGCTCCTTGTTCTGCTACTGAGTAAAGCTGGAGGTGAAATGACAGGCATTCAGCTGCCACAGGTGTCTATTGAGTGAGAGCAGAGTCATAGCATGAGACAAAGGGTCCTGTCATTAAGTCCCAACAGTGCCTCAGGGGATAATAGCACAATGAGTGGGAGTTGAGGGAGAAGGCTGAAAGTAGGTCAAACCAAAGCTCTTCAAATCCCTATACACTACTTTTCATAGAACATGGGGAAGGCAGGAAAATAAGTCCTAAGTCAATAGAAATAACATGTGCAAACTGTTTAATCATCAGATAAAATATTAGAACACAGTGCCCTCAGCCCAGAAGAATATTTGGTCACCTTTATCAAGGTTTGTGCCAATTTGATAACTCAATTCTTAGTTTGGCATTCATCTTGGGTTGTTGATCCATTATGTTATTTTGTTCTGCTCTGCAAAGCCTTAAAAAAGGAAATGAAATTACTTTGGCTTATTCATATCCACTTTCTGAAAGGAGATGTGTGCCAGTTGGAACTCTAATGGGCGGCTGTTTGTACTTGGAAACAAAGGGTATGTGTCCATCGTTACCCAGGGTCGTGGCACAGAGCCTGGGCCAAAGGGGCAACAAGGAGGCCTGACCTCCTAGAGACCTGCAAGGAAAGTACTTTCTCCCCTTTTAAAGGATTACTGAAATACTGTCTTCCATTTTTCTTTTAAATGGTAGTTGACTGTTTATACAACATTACTGCCTTAGTGATACGCACAGCACTTGGAGATTAGGTAACTGATCACAGACGGTTTGAGGAAGAGATGAGATTTGTGCTCCAGTTAAAGTCCTGTCAAAACATAAACCAGACATAATTATTTCATTCATGCTTTGCACAGTGACATATTTTGACTCACTGATGTTAAGGCTGATCAGGCTCCAAAGTTAGTGTATTTTCTGGGGAAAGTTAAGAGTCTACTCAAGTACTTACAGACTCTCCAGGTTGGCAGTTCCAGTTAAGTCAGGAAATTCGGTTATTTGGGAAGCACCATTCAAAGTCCTAGGGGGAGGAATATGTAAATATTACTGGCAGAAGGTTCTAGGAAGGGATAATTTAAATTGTCATTTTTAGAGTACTTCAACAGGTAATACTCATTTGGTCTTTACATCAGTCCTGCAATGTGGGAGAAATGTGCTCTAAAAGAGACACTTACAGTGTTCTTAGTTCAGGTAAATGCTGAAAAGCCGATCTTCCAACAAACTGGATGGGGTTGTCATAAAAATGTCTGAAAAAATCCAAATACCGATGTCTTAGTGTAAAACCTGAATGATGTGTATCTGTTTAAAATTTCAACTAATACACTAAATATATTTATGTAATTTTGTCTATACTATATTACACAACATTACTGTTTACTTGGTTTCAGGTGAACCTTGACAGTGTTTTGATTCACATTATGACACTTTTGGTAAGAAATGCATCCTATATAAAATTTAAAATTTCTGATACTAAGGCAGATATGAATGATAGTTACTTAAATAAAAAAAAGGAAGTGAACTGACTACATTTTAAAACTTTTTCTGAACTGGGCATGGTGGTACACACCTGCAATCCCAGCACTAAGGAGATTAAGGCAGGAGGATCCCTGCAAGTTCAAGCCCAGCCTGAACTACCTAGGGAGACCTTGACTCAAAAAAACAAAAAAAAAACCAAAAAACAACAACAAAAAAAACTAGCCAGATGTGGTGGCGCATGCCTGTAAACCCAGTACTTGGGAGGCTGAGGCAGGAGGATCGCTATGAGTTCAAGACCAGGCTGGGCTACAAAGTGAGTTCCAGGTAAGTCTCAACTACATAGAGACCCTGTCTCATAAACAAAAAAAAAACCAAAAAACAACAACAAAAAAAACTAGCCAGATGTGGTGGCGCATGCCTGTAAACCCAGTACTTGGGAGGCTGAGGCAGGAGGATCGCTATGAGTTCAAGACCAGGCTGGGCTACAAAGTGAGTTCCAGGTAAGTCTCAACTACATAGAGAGACCCTGTCTCAAAAACAACAACAACAACAACAAAACAAAAAATCTTTTTCTGCCTTTAGCATTTGTAAAATATTCATTGAGTAGCAAAAAGGTAAATTAAGGTACAATTGTTACTATTAAAGAAAATAAAGTCAATCTACTGGAGGTTTTTCCTTCCTGTCAAATATTGCATAATGTCCATATGGGTCTCTTCAAATTATTTGTGAAGAAATGAGTTACTCGGAGTTTTTCTCACATTAGAATTTTCTTGAATTAATTATTGCTCTGAAAAGTGAGACAGTACCAGAACTTACAGACTATTTTGTTTTGCAGATGTTTTAATGTAGGTGAAATGTATTTATTTGAATTCCCTGGTCAGTGGAGCCCCTTATATACTTCTTAGCTGAGGCATCCTGCTAGTTTAACTAAATTAACAAATGTTCATTGGTTTTTACTATGTTTATAGTATGAGGGTAGATATGATGAGATTTAAATATTTATTGAAGAAACTGTCTTTGGGTATCTACTCTGCTCCTGGCATTATTCTAGATACTGAAGGTGTGGAGCGAACTGATGAAATGCTCCAGCTCTAAATGTTCCAGCTCTTGGATCAGGTGGGACTAAAGAAATAAATAACAGCACAGTGCCTTCTATTGGACAGAGCACTTCCATATATCTGTATCTATTTCAATGGGTCCATGCAGCAATTTTTATGCATAGTGTAGGGACAATATTCTTTACTTTTGGAAGAGAAAACTGAGACTTAGATACCGTGGGAAGCTCATTACCCAAGAGCCTCAATCTTTTTACTTGTTAAACTGAGGTAAAAATTCTTAGTTGTAGGATTCAGGTAAAAGTTAAAACAGAGAATGCATGTGTGATATCTATCACAGTTCCTAGAAAATAGTCATTACCCAACAAACCTACGTCCTCTTATTCTTTGATCCTTTTTTCCCCTTGGGATTAGACAGTAAGTAAGCAAAAGAGCTGGAACTGGAATATATGCTTTATGACTTAAAAGTGGGATTTTCTTCATAATGGCATATCATTCGTCGGCTATACTATCTGCTCACAGGAATGTAATTGCTCTCGTGTACATGTACAAATGAATGTACACTGGCTGTACGAATGTACTTACTTACATGCGTAAGGGAGAAATAAGGAGTTCTGTGGTTGTCAGGAGAGAATGTTTTCATATGTTCAGGGACATTAAGAAAAAGTTCATGAAATGGAATTTAACATGGGCCTAGGAGACAGAATTTCAACCAGCACAGTGAGGGGACAGAATTATAAGAACAAAGGAAATAAACAGACTTTATCTAAGAACATAACTTAGTTGGTCTGATTTATGACCTGTGGCAGTAGGTGCTCAGCCTCTTCCTGATTGAAAGTAGATGGGAAGTGCGGAGGTGGTTGACAGGGCCTGGAGCCAATCACAGAGATGGGGTGGGGCATAGGAAAGGGCAGGTAAAGACGAGAGTTAGAAAGGAATGCAGGAGCAAAGAGAGGAAAGTTTCAGGAAAGAAAGCAGCCAACACTGTGGAACAGTGGATAGAAGCTCAAATATCTGTGAGGGGCTGCTAGCCCTCCTCAGGTCCTATTAGCATGTCAAGAGAGTGATTCAAAACCAGGTCCCAGGCAGCAGGCAAAGTGGAGCAAAGGCGGAGCAATTTGCAAACTTCTTAACATGTAAATACTCTCTAACGAAGACTAAGGTTTATTGGCCAATACACTTTAAACCATTAGTTTGCCAAAACATTGCCAGAGCATTTCAAAATGAAGAATGGTTTGTTAGTTGGTTTTTCCGCCCAGTTGTCAGCGCTAATTGGGACCCCCAACTCATTCACGACAAATGCCACATGGTTCCAGAAAACCTTTGATCCATTTGGCATAGGACAGACACCTGCCAGTAAGTGCCCCTGGTGTAATGTTGAAAAATCGTCTTTACTCTTTTGTATATTTGGGACCTGTCACCAAGGACAATACTGGGCTCTGAACCTACCTGGTCAGGTGTCTTTTAAGTGGGTCAGCCTATCCATTGTATATTTTATCTTCCTTTATGTCTATCATCAATCTGTCTATGCTAAATGACAAATAGAAATTCTTTGTAATTATAACTATTTTATGGTATAAAAATCCTCAGGTACTCACTCCTTTTGAGAAAATATGACTTTTCTAGAATGCCATCCTAGTCTCTATAAATGTGACTCAATGCATGGCTTGATAATGAAAAGAGACTTACCATAAACCAATATTCCTCCCTCCGTACTGCAACAATTTAGGCAGAAGTCTATTGTTTGCGAAGATCCTTATTTACATAAGATAATTTATATTTCTAGTATTCTTGAATTGAAATTCTGAATGATAATGTGGCTTTCACACTGATGATCTAAAACTCAGTTTATTTCTTAGAAAACAAAGGTAACTATAAGCATTAACAAACTTAATGGTGAAATGCAACAAGACATCTGAAAATATGAGGCATAATGCAATACACATTATAGATCCTAAAAAATGTTTTAAAAATATTTGTTCAGTGCTCAGTTTAAACCTGCCAAATAGCTCCTTATATGAGTCTCTGTACAGATTATTACTATGACTGAGGTAAGCCTCAAGAGAATATAGAACATATATTGTATTGTAAGTACAATATACACTATGTGTGAAGATGCACAAACCCCAAAGTATTTTGATTACTTACATTGTAATAAGAGAAGGGTTGCCTACAAATGATTTCTCAGGTATTGACCTGATATTGTTGCTATGAAATCCTCTAGAAAGAGAGAAAAAAAATACAGAAAATCATGTGTGGGATAAAATTATTTACTAGCCCTCTCCACCCCCTAGTGTGGTAATAATCAGCACCTTTGGTAACCAGAGGACAACATATTTAAAACTTTGGCATTCTCATTTACTCTCAAAGATAAAAAGAAACCACATACTGTCTTCTTGGACAAGGCATGGAGAGTCTGTAATTATGCTTTGTGGAAACTTATGACCTAACACTATAAAAAGAACATCCATGTGTTAATATCCAGTAGAACATGGTTGCATAATAGCCTGAGGTGTGGAAACCATATTTGGACAGAGGATTATGATCACTCCTTCTTACTCGATTTGGAGATAGAAGAGAAAACCGACTTAAGCTGGAGTGAAGTAGACATTTAAGTAATCTTCTTATGAGGACAAAGTTTCCAGAATCAAAGGAAGGTGCCTCAGCTCAGTGAGTCCGTAATAATAAATTGATTCTCATCTGTCAGGGTGATGCTCTCTGAATGGCACAGGACCAGAGTCAAGGATCTCAGGGTCTTACGTAGGCCAATGGCTGTATGAGAGGAGGCTGTCTTACGGTGCCTGATCCTGTACAAGATCCTCCAGTAGAGCCACACGAGGAGTTTGCTGAGGCAAACTGCTTGCTGAAGGCTTTTTCTTTTAAACAAGGTACCCTGTCTACCTTCTTTGGCTGAGTGCCTTATTTCTTACTGCCAGGGGAACAAGATTCTAGGTTTATTTTCCTTTGTAAGTGTTAGAACATCACCTCTATAGGTAATGGTATTCATTTTCTTAGGTACAAAGAAAAGCCAATTAAATTTTATCATCTAAAAAATATACATGTAACCTAATGGCTGATAGCTTTCTTTTAGTAAACTTGTGTTTTGAAAAATTAAGTTTTTATGCAGCACTGAAGGAATATTGTGTTTAATGAAATGTGTATGAAGGCATCTAGCCTTCATGCCTAGATGAAGGCATCTTTGTACAAAGAACATACAACTCCATCAATCCAGATCTATGCAAGCTAGGTAAGTTTAGATTCTTAGAAATGCTTAGCAAAGGCTGAATTTAGTTATAGTTCTGCAATCTGTAAAGTGTATACATGTAAGGTGAATAGGTATGCCTTAGAAAAAGAGAAAAGAATATGGCTTATAGAAATATGAAATACCTTTTTACATAAGTAGATGAGTAACCCATTGTATATTATAACTGATATTTGCTGGTGATTAGAATCAATTAAAATGTATTTCAAGTGCACTTTTGAATCATTATGTGAGCTTTAAAATTCCTTCTATAAGTCATATTATGTATAATAATAACCCATATGTTCAAAATAAATTCACAAAGACTAAATTTCTTCCACTAAAACTGTCCTAAATACTTACAGTTCCTTAAGGTTGGAGAGTGTCCTGATTGCAACGGGAAATTCATCGAGGTTATTGTAATTTAAATCTCTGAAATGAGTAAATAGTATTTTCAGTTTTTCATTATAACACTCACAAATATAAAACATACATTAGATAACATGTTATCCCAATGGACCCATATCACTGGTGAAAGTTCTACTTCCTTTTCTTTATGGAGAGGTTTTCTTGGCTTGCTTACCACTAACACTGCATAAGCATTTGTATTAAATGGTCTTTACACTGATAACATAAATTTCAGACTCAAAATCCAATGGCACTGGAGCTTTTAAACCAGGGAGGGACATGCAGCTAGCTTCGAAATAGGAGGGCTGCTTGCTTGGTGGGGTGTTGACCACTTGCTGGTGGAGCTCTTTGTCTAAATGTGGCTCACTCTACTGCCAGCTTGTGTGTGCCCCACTTGAGGCTCCTGGACTACACCCCCTTTCTTGCTTTCTCCTTCCCTTCTGGGAGATAGGATATCTCGGAGGGCTGCATTATTCATGACTCCCGTGGAGAGCCTGCATGTCTCTCAGTCTGAAGTCCAGGATTAGACTTGCTTCTGGAGAGGTTTATGTGACACAGGGTACTCTCAGGAAGCACATCTGGTCTAGAATTTTCTCAAATCAAAAATAGTGATTCAAATCAGAAGTATAATGTTTTCTGAGGCAAAACTCTATTTTATCCCCTCACACAGAGAGAAGGAAGGGCCAGACAATCTCCAGTCATTAACTTCTCTGTCTGTTATGACACAAATGGCTTTTCAAGTGTATTAGTCACAAGTGCTACTACTCCACATTATATCTACAACTTCATATGAAAAAGTAATTGCCTCCTGCTCTCTGGGAATGGCAGATTTCCCAGAAGATATAGAAAAACCTTTTGGTCAGGCAATCAGATATGGTTAGATCCTCCTCTATGGAAAGGAATTGTTATTTAATTTTAAGAGGAAGATAATTTGACTGAGTTAAACATGAATCAAGATTCCTACTTGTCTGGCACAAACCATATTTGAGCTATACCCCAGGCAGGAAACTTGTGTCTTTTGTGGACATAAATTTTCTTCCTGTTTGTAAATCTCTCCAGATGCTCTGTTCTGATTAAACGAGGATTGGACCTTTATAAATTACTTGGATTTCTAGTGAGGAAAGGAAGAGGTTGGAAATAACCAATTTACTGATCCCCTGCAGCCTTGGGCTAGATGGAGGGAAACAATAAGATGCATATGAATTTTATCCTCAAATATTTTGCCTTACGGTATTTATATTCAAGCTTAGGTCACAGATTGTGAACAGAGACTGAGTGCCCAAACTGCAACCCATCACAAAGTGTCAACACTGCAATTAAACCTGACTACTGAGGTTTTAGTTTAGAAAAACAACTCACAAATTAACATCTTTTGTCCTAAAAAAAAACAACCCCAAAACAAATGACACGAATGCCATAAGTTGCCTACCACTAGCCCAGGTCCTTAACTAGCATTGGGAAAAAAAATCTATTTATGGAAATATCCAAAGTCCATATTTTTTGTTGTTGTTCTTCAACAACTGGAAGGTGATCTCATTTGAAGAGAGCCCGCACATCAATCCGGGGTAGATAAGAGAGTTCTAGTCTTTCCTAGCTGTTGATAGAAATTGCTGCCTATGCCATTAAGTTGACATCAAAGTCTTGCCTAAACAAGTTCATCTTTGACACCTATGAGGAAGCAGTGACTTAAGGAAAGTTGTTTGTGTTTATCTACAACAAGACCATCATCAGGTGGTCTTTCGAAATTACGGGCTTCAAACTTGATTAGAAGCTAAATTGACCATGTGCAAATTGCTAAACTTTGTATGTAAATGAACAGTGTTTCCTAAGCCCGACAGAAGTGGATTTTGGTGCTGTGCTTCCCCAGTCCTGAGCCAGTCCAGAGTCAGCATTTTAGATCCAGTGCCCTTGTCCATCTATTGTACTCAAGTATTAAAAATGTATGGGTCTCACTGCAACCATTCTCTTCTCCCAGCATAATCAGAACTGTCACTGCATATCATTCTACCTCTTCCGCTTAACAAGGCAGTGCAGGTAGGTTCCTCCCCTGGGAAAAGCCTAAGACCCTGGAGTGGCCCAGGAGAACCTCTACGTTGGCTCTAGGAGAGAGTCTAGCTAGCTGGACTCATCTTTATCATCAATATTAACTAAGACCTGAAATTTTGATCTATTTTTTGGCAGTAGAATCTGAAGATAAACGTGGGCTAGAGAAGGAAACAAATCCCAATTATGCTGCTGATCACATATGCAATATTAATACTGCATAATGATTGCAATATGCAATATTACATACGTAATATTGGCAAAGTAACTTACCCTCAGTATAGTCTATGATAGAATAATAACGTTTGCTCTCCTGGGGTGTTTATTAAGTTATTGGAATGACATGTTCTCAGTGCAATAGCTGATTATAGAAATAATCAATAAATAGCAGCTATTATTACTTTTTTTGAATTTTTTAAGCACAAATACTCTCTACTTTCCAATGAAATGCCTATTTATCTCAGATTGAAGACTCAGGCATTTTTGTAGTCTGCATCTTCTTATTCAGCAGGGGGGGCCAAATTCATGAATAGTGAGCCTGAGTAACAATATGCAATTGATCCTGGACAGAATACACAAACCTAAGCAAACAGTCACTGCTCAGAAGAAACATGTCATTTAATTTAAGAGATAGTCTAATTATCACTCTCATCAGATTAAAATAAAATCTCAGTTTCATGTTTAGCTCTTTGGTGTGTGTGTGTGTGTGTGTGTGTGTGTGTAAGACAGAACCACTGTAAATATGTTTAAAGCTCAGGCAATTAACCAAACCAAATAGAAAGTTTGGCTTTAAGGCTATTTTGGTTCCTTCAGAATATTCATGAAAGCACTGAAAAAAGGGAAACAAATAAAAGGTCAACTCACAAAGTCTCCAGGCTGTGGAGCCCATCAAAGCATTTCTTTCCCAGGGAGTGAATTCTATTGTTATGGAGATGCCTACAGGAGAACATTACCAACAGTCACAAGGCACTGCATACAGCAAAGTTAGGCAAAACATTCTGATTGCCTAAATCCAAAGAAACCTATACTAAAGAATGCAGTAGTCATAGGAAATGAATAATTATAAAAGTCTATGTGCCTCATTCATTCATCTCATCGATGTCTCTATATCATAGAATTTAAAAGGAACCCATAGTTTAACTATTTGGCTTTGAGATATCTGGGAGTATTAATAATCTGAACATCAATGATATAAGTACATTCAGATTTTTCTGAGTATTTTCCAATATAATTTGTTCAGCATGACTAAAATATAAAAGGTTAAACTGAAATATTGACCATCATTGAGACAAGGAAGCTAGAGGAAAGGTGACAGATGTACTCAGCACAATTTCTATTAACATTGCAGGATTATAAAGGCTACATTCCCAGTGTGGGGCTACGGGTCAACAGGAAACACGATTTCAGTTACAGGGACTGGTGATCAGATTTTTTGGCTGCCCTAGAAGATTAGCTATCGTGACACAGTGTTAATATGTATAATTAACATCTTTAGCTGAACTAGTGAGTCAGTTAGGCCAAAGCCACTGAGAACAGCTGTGTATACAACTGCAAGCTGGACCAATTCCCAAAGGGATTTTGGAAAATGGGTTTGAGGGGGACAGGGTGAAAAAGAATAGCCGAATCTCTGTAAATACATTTCCTTTAGTGGAGAAAAAATATTAAAACATATACCCAAATTCTGGTAGGTCAGTTGCATCATCTTATATGTGAAATTCAGTATAGATACTTATTAACATCCCCCAAACTTCTTTCCCTTTCAAACTAAAATATCTATTTTAGTTTCATGTGCGAGCTATGTACATTCATTAGGGATCTTCTATATGCGACAGATAAAAGGAAGAGGATTGAAGGGAATCTAAACAGATAGATAAGATGTTGGCCAGCCCTGAAAGAAGTATATACTACTCCTTTGGAGAGACAAACATCTAATCTAATCTAGTAACAAATGAGATGAGAGAAGGCAGCAGTGAGTCAGTCGGTGGGCATGGAGTGAAGGGAGGAGTAGGGCAAGAAACCTTCCTCAAACTTCTAAAGGGTTAGGGTTTGGCTTTTAAGAGTCCCCAAAGTCTCCGCAGCACTGTGCGGAGGTGGAAAGAACTGAGCTCGTTGGCGTGTCCCCTCCAGTAAAGCAGACACTGGAACCCACCCCCTTGCTCTGTTTTTCTTTGCTTTCTCGCTGCTGTGAAGTGAGAAGCTTTGCTCAAATGTGCACTACTTGCTGTGATGTTTTACCTCACCACAGGGCTAAAAGCAATGAGACAAAGGACTAGGGATTGAAATCCCTGAAACAATAACCCCAAATAAATCTTTCCTATTTTAAGTTGTTTATCTCAAGTATTTTGTCACAGCAGCAGAAAGCTAATGATCTTACAGCCTTTCAGGTGGCAGCTATTTTCCTAGGTCAGCATTAACTGGCTACTCTGATTTATACACGACAGCATGCTGCCTCCACCTTAAAAAAGAGTCAATCATTTTTCAAACTTTTACTTATTTGACAATCATTGGAATTTAGTAAAATAACAAAATCTAGAGCTAACAGGGAAAAAGCTGTACAAATGCATTTTTCACTGTCAATGATTAGTTTTCCGAACTCGTAGCTCAAGAAATATTTACTTGATATTATTAATATATATTATTAAATAATAAGGACATCTTTCAATGTAACCTGAACTTTTCAATTATTAAAAAAAATCAAAGAATTTTTATTAACGGTGGTTACTGTACTAACTGTATTGTACAGTGATTCCTTGTACAATATATAAGGGGTTCCACTAAAGCAGAGGTCAGATTTTATTATCTTTGTGTGCCCAGTAGTGTTTGGCATTTATCAGGTGCTTGATAAATGTTTAAGTCATTTACACAACTGGAACATTTATAAGTCATTTTGGGGAGGGACTCGGGGGCATTTTCCTTTCTTAAAATGACTCCATTAAAGCTATCACAAAAATCAATAAAACTTACAGAACTACCAAACTGGAGAGGTTTCCAAAGGCATAATCTGGTATGTGATGTATATTGTTCAGGGCCAAGGTCATGGCTTGCAATGCTGACAAACTTCTGAAAGCCTGGGCAGGGATTTCTGTCAAAGCGTTGTCATCCAGCCACAGGTGCCTTAGGGAATGCAGGCCGCGGAAGCAGCTGGGAGGCACGTAGCTGATGTGGTTGGCATCCAGACGCCTGCGGAGGCAAGCAAGGAAGAAGGGAAGAGAGAGCAAAGTCAGGCAAAAGACGGACTTCGTGGAAAGACTCTCCAGGTGTTTTACAGAGTGAAACACAGCTTGCGGTGCTCTGCGTCCCTGACGTCCAGAGCATATCCCTCTCCTGATGGGTTGTCCTTCTCACTCACGGGGAGTGGTCTTCACCTTTTGCTTCCTAAACCCGCCAAAGAGACATCCTCTTTTCCTTCTCTCATCCCGAGACAAACGTATGCCGTTAGAGTCGTGGAAATTTTTTTAACATACTAGCCACAGCGATCTATTAGTGTGTTCCATAAGTTCTGGGAAAAGATGATTTCGGTATTTGAAAGGAACTGAATAATTTCTAGAGGCTGTAAGATAAGTGTTAGAGAGGGGAGAAGCAGCCCTCCCTTTGTCTCAGTACAGTGCCAAAGAGCCTAACACGAACAGGCTGGCTTTCTTGCTCACCTTAACCATTTGCCTTGGGCAGATGTTTGTTTTAATGACATTTTAAACGAATAATAAAATCAACAGCTTTCCAGCTTTTGCTTCCTTTTCCCACACTTCACTTTCAAACGGGAAACTACATCTAAAAATAGGTTTAGTCAATGGGCTGTTGAAGCTTTGGAGCCAGCAGAGGGAGTACAGTACATTTATTTTGCCTCAGTCCAATATAAATAGTGGCTATAATTGAAATGCCTTCACTATATTCTTGGAAGTGACAAAACTCACGCAGGTTAGTATTTTCTGTGGGGTACATGAACAATAGAACCACCATCACTCACATCTGCTTCCAACAGCCCTTGCTTTTTTTTTTTTTCAGTGTTTTTAAGACTCACACGTTTGTTTGCATTTTCAAAGCTAGGATTAAAAAAATACATGCTGCATTTGAAGCAGTCCATGTATTAGGAAGGATCAGAGAAGCGCAAGAGGATTTTGGAAACATTTAAGACTAAACAGATGCCGGAAGTATGCCAGGATCACAAAATAATCTCTTTTAAACCAAATTTAAACAGTTTAGAAATAGAATTCTCTGTGGTAGCAAAGCTAATCTCTCTGGAAAGAGGCTTCCTCACTTTTGGTCACATATGTCATTCTCATCATTCTTTGGTTCCTATTTCTCTCGACTGTGTGGGAACAATGATACCTTAAGAAGCCTGGGCCAGATTTTGGTAATAACTGAGTTTAGATCACTTGGAATAAATTTTAAAAGTTGGAAGTCTTGGTCCATATACACTTAAATTTCTAGTACAGCAGCCAGTTGTAGGCAGCAGAAACACTCCTTCCCCACATACAAATAAATGAACTGGACGTGCTTAGGAGAACTCAGTGCTATCTCTTCTACCTTCTCCAGCAACAGCGGGCTCGGCCCAGGTTCAAGATATGCTACAATCTCTCTGGGGGATGAAGAGGGATTATTTTTGCATGACTAGTAGTAAAGCACATATATAATCCCTTCTTAACTACTGCCCTGACTAAAAAAATTAAAGCTGTATACTATAGTATACACCTCTGAGTTTTAGTTGATGTAGGGTCTGATTATTGCCAGTGGCTTGCGTATCAAAAGAGGTGGCTCCTAAATATCTTCAAAATGGAAAACCTTCAAGTTTAATACAAGTGTTGGAGTACATTTGTAGAAAAGGCTCTGTCATTGTGGAGTCATAGGCTTGTCTTCTTTGATATTTTTAGTTGCTACCCATGTGAAGTGGTCCTGGTATCTCTTCCTTATGTTAATAAATACATTTCTCTGGACAGATATCTTTTTTGTTGTCATTGAAGTATTGGAGATTGAACCAAGAGAGGGCCAAGCTACATCTCTAGCCCATTTATTTATTTATTTATTTTTTGTTTTTTGTGACAGGGCCTCACTATGTAGTTGAGTTTGACCTGGAGCTCACTATGTATCCCAGGATGGTCTTGAACTCACAGAGATCCTCCTGCTTCAGCCTCTTGTGTGCTGGGATTACAGGTATGCGTCACCATGCCCGGCTAATTTATTTTTTATTTTGAGACAGGGACTTTCTAAGTTGCCTAAGCAGGCCTTGATATTGCCATCTTTCTGTTGTATCCTCCTGAGTAGCTGGGATTATAAGAGTGTATCACCAGGCCTCATTGGACAGATACCTTTTATGAATCACATTTTTTCCCTCAGAAAAAAAGAGTGAAATATGTTCTTGCTGCATTATCATCTTACATAAAATTGCTATCTGAAGTGAAATGAGTAAGTCAGAGCAATTATTCAGTTTTAACGCTTACTATATAAATTCTCCTGGACCTAATAATACTCCCCAGCATAGAACTCCAGGTATACTGAGTACAGCATTGAAATGTCTTTCTACTAAAGAGTTTCTTCATTTAAGAAGCTTGCAATAAAAAATTTGTCTAAATATAGTATTTTAAAGTGCATATCTACCTGACCTCAGAGTTTGCAACCTAATTCAGAGTGGAATATTGATCATACTGAGGAGCATTATCTGATTTAATCTTCTCCTCCCAGCTTTCTTAAAGTATAACTTACAAATAAAAATTATGTACAGTATGATGTTTTGATATATGTGTACATTGTTAAATGATTAACTCAAGCCAATTAATATATCTATTATGTCTCACACTAATCATCCTTTTGTGGTGAGGATATTTAGAATCCAATATGTTAGCAATTTTCACATATACAATAAATTATTACAGGTATCATGCTGTATAACAGACCTCCAGAATTTATTCATGTTGTCTGAGAATTTGCACCTTTTGATAAACATCTTCCCATTCTCTCTGTCCAGCCCCTGGCAGCCATCATTCTACTGTCTTCTATTTCTGATTTAATCTTAACAGAATCTCCCAAGGCTATACTACCAGGGTATGGAATTAACCCCATCACTTATACAGGTGGTTCTTACGGAACAAGGTTAAGACTGTGGACACAGCACTGGCAGTGCCCAAGTTGTGCCTATTCAGTGAGTAAACAAAGAACTTGTATTGTGTTAATCTGGTCTTTTCAGGGAGCTGGAATTCTCTATTCATATGCTTGGAAAATGGAATATTTAAGCACTGAAGTGTAAGATAAACATCGCTATACAACACAAAATATAGTTCAATTATACACTTTATTATCAAAAGCAAAAAATGATGGCATTCTATAGCTCCACTTTTAAAGTGATTCATTGTTATAGTATTTCCATTTCATACAAGTCACAAAGAGAAAGTGTGTAGGTGGTTTAGTATCTGAATTAGCCTCAAGTTCAAAGTAGTACAGCAGCTGCTGGGCCATGGACAAATCAAGAAACCTCAGCTTTAACATCTATAAACTGGGGATCACTTCTCTCTAGCTTATAGGGTTTTCTTATGATAAAAAGCAATAATACAACAGGGAATTGTAAGTATAAAGTATCCTAATGATTGTAAATTACTTTTATCTGAAGCAGATTAACAATTTTTGTTTTTGTCTTTTGAGTACTGAACTACTAAGAAAAAAGTGGTAAACTCAAATTAGCTGGGGCAAAAGTTGTCTAAAACAAGTATTAAATTGCCAGTGAATTTCAGTTCTGAGAAAAATAGGGTGTTTATTTTGTTTCTTGTAAGAGAAATAATTAAGAAATATTTAAATTAGACTTAACAGGGAACGAGCTAAGATGGCAAAGTGGTTAGTACCAGTGACACAGCTCCTCCTAGACAAAGTGCCCAGAGTTTGGAAAACAACATCTGGGAGAGGCAAGAGAGCGAGCGAAGGGAACAGGTAACCACGAGGGAACTGACAGAGGAGGAGGAGACAATAGGATCCATTACTACGGAAGAAATTGCTCACTAATGCGGACCAGAGACTGCGCAGTACAGGCAGCGAAAACAATTTTGCTGTACACTGTGAAACAGAGACCCAACTTGGATCAGAAGAATTTTATGTAATCGAAGACAACAGTGACAGCACTAAACACTGCTTCCCGAGTGGACCTTCCTGGAGCCAACAACTGGCGAGTGAATGGGAACAGTCTCCACACAGTCACTCAGAGCAGCGGATGGGCGAGGTCACCATCTTATTTCAAAAAGCTTGGAGGGCCAGGGATTTGGCTTAGTGGTTCTGCGTCCTGCCTTCCAAGCACAAGGACCTGATTTCGATCCCTGGTACCACCACCAAAAAAAAAAAAAAAAAAAAAAGCTTGGGACTTGAGCTCCAAATAGCCTCACTGCCACTTCATTGCTAACTCCTCAGTGGAAGAGGGAGAGCTTCCTAACAGGAGACAGGTGGCAGCTGGACAGCAGATTGAGGGAAATGCTGCTGAGAAGCTTAGCCCTAGCCACTAAGGACCAGAGGTGTCTCCCTGCTCTGCCATCAGAGGTGTGGGTCGGGCAAACACTCTGGCCCTCCAGGGAAGAGGACACTCCCACTCCGCCCCGAAACAGCACCTGAGCCAGCCATAGGACAAAGCCCCGTCCCCAGCGAGTGAAATAATCAACTGAGTGGATCCGAGGAAGCCGCAGGATCTGGGAGGGACTGCATCAACATGGGATCAGCCTCGGCTGGCTCCACAGGACAGCACAACAGTTGGGAGAGCAGCGTGGAGATGGCCTTGGTGGGAGACGTGTATGAGCTGCCCAAACGATGCCCGGGAATTTGCTGGCTGAAGGACAGCCACAAGCCCTCACATTTGGAGGCCCAAGTCAGCCCAGTATTTAGCACTAACTGAAGTCTTGGTGTGATAACAAAGCACATTTTCGGTCTTTGTCGGGAACACTGACAGAACTCTGGATACCAGAGGAATTTTATTATTTTCCCTTTTCTGTGCTTGATTCACTTTCTGTTATCTGTCTGATTGGTTTTTATTGTGTGTGTGTGTGTGTGTGTGTGTGGTTGTTTAGGTTTTTTTTTTTTACGTTAATTTTTGTTCTGTCTTATTTGCTCTCCTCTCTGCAGCTATCTCTATTGATTTTGTACTTTCGTGTGAGTGAACAGTGTCTCTTCTCTTTTTGGTTTGCTTCAACATTCTTTTGATTTCTTCACTTTTCCTC